GGCTTAACTCACTTGGCAGCTGGCTTGCTTAGTAGCTGGAATTCTGGTCTTAACTATGATCATAAGTCAAGAACTAGTATGTAGCTGAGTGAATGTGATAGCAATAGCACTTAGACTTATGTATAGTCCTTAGACAAACATGACTTAGACTTTACAGTGCTTTATAGCCCTCTCTGAATGGTTTACAAATGTTGGCATATTGCCCCCAACAATCTCCACCTCGGAAGGATGGAAGGCTGAGTCAACCTTGAGCCTGGGGAGATTTGAATTGCCAAATTGCAGGCAGCCAGCAGTCAGCAGAAGTAGCCTGCACTACTGTATTCTAATCATTGCACTACCATGGCTCTTATATTTTCCAGCTGGTACAAGAATCTTATTTTTAATAGGGCCTGCGTTAGTTTTCATATATCTGTGCTTTTGTTAATTTCATTAAATGGAATTAAAAAGTTTGGCTGAAATTGTATCTAAGACTCTACTTTATCTTCTCATATTCTGGAATAACTGCAAGGTGCTTATTGTAGCTCTTGGGTTGTATTAATTTCTCAGCTGTCTGAAAGTGGAAATGTGTGTTTAAGAGTATAACCCAAGAGCATTTAGCTAGGAGTTTATTTATTTTATGTGTTAAATTTATATGCTGCCCAGCTCACTAACAAGTGATCCTGTGGAGCTGAGATCTACAGAACTCAATGACACTGGATTATAATTAAATATGAAAGGTTTTTTGTTAAACATTTTAAGCTCTGTAAATGTCTTACTTTATAACAAAATATGATACTAAAGAAATATTAAAATATTGATAATTTAGAATTAAAGTCTTTTAAAGTATTTTTTCAAAGAAAATTAAAATAATATAGTATGGTAGTTCTTTACATTTGAAATCATTAGGACATGAAGCAGTATGTGAACACAGATTTGAAAATTATTTTTCTAGAAGTATGTAAATAAAATAAATTAGTTCCCTTTAAACCAAGAAAGGGCAATTTTAGCTATCACTACCTCCAGTAAGCTTGAAAATTGTTTAACTGTTGAGCAGATCGTTCTTCATGTAATCATTCTATCAATGCTACATTATTTCAAATTAGATAATAATAAAGTCCAGTACCTACTGCATTGATTAGGAAATTGGGGTAGGGTTAAAAAATAGACATAAAATATGTTAACCATTTAAAATGTCTTCTATTCTCAACCTGGGAAATATGATAAGACTTACATTTGCTTCCTACATGATGAGTGTAAACACAAGCTCAGTTAATAAATGTTAGGTTTTTATCTATCTTCTGTTGAATAGCCAGTTCTTCACATTGCTTGGATGTGTGCCATGGACTTACTCTGATAGTTGATTTCCTCCATATGGATAAACTCTTACCAGAATTTGTACCTTTTTTATTTCTTTTATTATTTCTCTTTGATTTCTAACCATGTTTGTATTTCAGAAAAATATTCCATGTATCTGATCATTTTAGTATAAGAAAGATTACTCATAGATAAAACTATGTTACCGTGAAGATAAAAATGTGTATTTTGACAGATAAATTTATTCCACTCATCTGAAGAAATAGCCTTGATCCATGTAATCTTTATGACAGAATAAAAATAAATTTGCTTTAAAAGACTCATCCGTATCTTTATTATTCTTATATAAACAAACTGCTGCATGAAATAACTCTTTTAGCTTCCAGTTTTAAATAATTTCACTCAAATAACTTGGTGACATTTAGATAATTTGCATCATATTTCCCTTAGGCTGGCTATAGTTATGACATTTAGGTCTGGTGGGACTTGAAGGTCAAAGTTTATGCAAGATATCAGGTAGCGTATTGCTTATATAGTTGAAATGCTATAATTAAGAAAGGGAGCCTAATATTTTGCAATAGGCAATTACTCCTCCATATTGAATGTTCCAGTTGACAAGCTAAAGTCTACGGTTTTTGTTCTGTGGAAATTTGCAGGCCAGACTGAAGTCCAGGAATGTAGAATGGCTACTCCCACACCTCCAAACAATACATACATTAGTCTAAATTAGTATTCAAACTTGTCACCTTATAGGGGAGATGGGTGACAGAAAAATTAATAAATAAAATAATAAATAAAATTTACAACATCATCACTTTAGCCATTGTCTATCGACTCAATGATGAAGGCCTCTTCCGCATATTTCCAATCAATTTTCCAAACATGGAAAATTTATATACGTTCCTGTTAATCAGTATTTCTTAATACTGACAGCTTGAGATATATGGATTTCAACTCAACATGTGAGCTGGGGAATTCCAGCAATTGAAGTCCACACATCTTAAAACCATCAACATTGAGAAACCCTGCTTCCATTTAGCTTAAAATGTATTGGCGGTTTCTTCCTCCATCAGAATCCACTGGGCCAGCTCTGGTTAACACAGATGATCAACTCTGTAACTAACAAAAGAAACAGACTGATATACTGTATATGTTACCGATAGAAGAAAATAGGTAGCTCACGGTTGAACTGTGAAGTCCTTGGTGTTCTCTGAACTTGGTTGTTTGTTTGCAGACATAACCTGCCAGATAATATCACCGCAAGCATGTGTGTGTTTACTCCTTGTTTATATAAAGTAGTTTACACTGTCAATGTTGGGGATGTGATTTTCTTCTTGGTAGTTCCTTGAATAAGGAACTACCTTGAAGAATATGTTCTGTTTGATAATTTGTCTGTGTTAATCTCTGCTTAATTCAGTTGGTCACTGAAGAGGATGTTTTCTGGTTGTTTTATTTGCTGCTTATCTTTTTTATGGTCTCTTTTGAATGGTGTGTAAATGTGCCTGGTTTTTATCTCCATGTGCCTGTTGGTGACTGATATACCTGAGTGACAAGCTTCCAGGAATGTCTTAGCATTGTTGCATTTATCTTCGTCTAAGTTACTGACAGTTTCCCAGTTGAAAATATGGTTGAGACTGTACATGTATTGTGAATAAAATGAGATTAGGGTAGGGACATTTGGTTAAGTTACTTTCTTCTTATGCCAGCAATAAACAGAACCTGAGAATACACAAGTTTGACAGTTCCAAAACTACACCAGCATCTTGTTTTACAATGTTTCTGGACAGTGAAACTAACTAAATCAGTAGCTTTTAAAATCATAACAGATATAGTTTCTTTTGCTATTATGTTCAATATTTGTTCCTCCTTATTTTTCTTTGTAACCTTGGAAATAAGTCATTTCGGTTAGATACTTTTCTTACTTAATATTCTATTGTAATTTCATAGTCTGTATTTAGGACTTCATAAATATGACTATTGAAGCTAAAATTATAATTGGCAATTACATCTGTAATGGTTATAGGAAAACTGTGTCCTTTGGTATATAACAAAGCAAGTCTGGCTTTGGTTGCCGTGCCTTTAATATCATTTTTTTGTAATCAGTTCATATTATCTTTAGGGTGACCAGAAGACATTGTATTTGTACTTTTCCACTTGTAGAAACTTAGTATTTTGTACATGTCTTGCTTCTGTAAGAATTATTTTCCTAGATTTTGGAGACCATTAGATAGGTGGATACTAGTGAAGTGACAAAACTGCCTGTTGACCTGAATGAATGAATGAATGAAGATTCAATTTTTTCCACTGTAATTTCCATGAATCAGTTCTAAATGGGAAATAGTTTAATTGCTGAAATATTTGTAATACATCTCTTCTCAAATAAACCTTGTTAAAGAGACTTCTACCCATCCTCTCACTTGCATTTACAGCTTATTACTGGAACTATCAACAAGGGACAAATTTGAGGAGTTTTCTAGCTGAGAAGAGAAAGCTTAAATCACTCTTCCCTGAATACCATTGGACTTATTCCAGAGTAAAATAGAGAAATACATTCTGAATGATTAATATAAGATGTAATTAGATACTTGTTTCAAGACCCTTTCAGACATTGTTTATTTCCTATTCTCATATGGGAATGACCTTGGAATAAATTTAATCGTAACAACTTCTCTCTAAGTAGTCCATGTTATTTTTTTCTTGGCAATAACATGGAAATTGTTTGTCACTGTTTTCTGCTGGGATTTATTTTTAAGCTTCTCAATTCAGGCTACAGCCCTGGAATTTTGAACCAAATTCAATCCCAAACTTTTTTTTTCAAACTCAGTTCTATAATACTACCTGTCCAGGTCTTGCTATAAATAGAAGAGAATAATCAACATTAGGTTTCCTACAGCAAATAGGATACAATTATTGACCTACCTTGACCCAAAGAGATTAAGTAAACTTAATGGGGAGGTCAATAATTGTGAGTCATCATGTTTCAATTCAGGAAGAAGTGCTTTATTTTGTAGCTATCAAATAATTAGCCTAGAACACGGGTGTCAAACTCGCCACATCACATTACCATCACTGATGTTTTTCCAATTCCCAGAGCTGGGGTGGGCGTAACTTGCCTATGATGCATCTGGCCCGTGGGCCACCAATTTGACACCCCTGGCCTAGGATAATATGTGTGTGGGGGGGGGGGGAAATAATATCCTATTAAATCTTATTGAAGATGATGTTTTTTCAGGTATCTATTTAATTCCAGTGAAGCAAACATATTTATTCCGTAGCCTTGGGTAACTTTAACTCCATTAAACACAGAGGCAGAAATCAATTAAAATTTTATGTCCTGTTGGCTAAGAACCTTTTCCTTTTTTAAAACACCCAAATTTATACAGCTTGGCATCCAGCAGGTATTTAAAATGGCTGCAGTATCCTGGAATCATGGGATCGCCATTTGCAACCGTTCCAGTTGGCTTGTTATCAGCAAAATCAATGGGAAAAGTCGGATTTTCTTAAAGACTCCATGACTCACTTAGTGACTGAAATGGTTCACTTAACAACCATAGCAAAAAGATGATAAAATTGGGCACGGCTCATTTAACATCTGCATTGCTTAACAAAGAAATTCTAGTCTCAGATGAGGCTGTAAGTCGCTTGAAATCTCAGAGTAATTGAACTAACATGGTACCATATTTTCTTTGTCTTTGTCCCTCACTTAGAAGTAGAAGCTTGTCTCTTCAGATATGGGCGAAGTGGAGCAAAGAGCAACAACAGGATCTCGGCTAGGAGTACAGGAGAATGCTGGAATCAGTACTCTGGAACATGAGCAGAAACTGCCTTCAACACCTACAGGAAAACTTATCTCTATCAAAGTCCAAATGCTGGATGATACACAGGAAACATTTGAAATTCCGGTAAGGTGATATTCTGAGTCTACGGTTCATTCTTGGCTGGGGCTGAGGGGGGCACAAAAGATTCACCCAGGCAGATCTGCCTCTTGTTTTGTGACTTTGTATACTGTGATAATAGCCCTCATATGAGAGCAGTAATAAAAATTTTGATATTTAAAACGTAGTTAAAATTGCAACAGGGGTACAATATTTTGTGACTTTGTATAATGTGATAATAGCCCACATACGAGAGCAGTATTAAAAATCTTAATATTTAAAACGTAGTTAAAATTGCAATAGGGGTTCAATATTTCATATGCACCTCGTATCATCACAAACTATTTAGAAAAAGAATACTTTTTAGGCTGCTATTAATTATCTAAATCACAATCTTTTAACATTAACTGAAACTGTCAATTGCAATATACACTACCATAAACTAATTAAGAACTATGAAATAATAGAATAATTAGCCTCCCAGAGAGAAAAAAATTAATACTAACAAATTTATTTCACTTTAATCTGTAGATTCTCTAAAGGTAATTTTGATCTTACATTTAAATCTTAAGTATAACTAAATAAGGTGATTGCATTCTAATACTAATACATAATTAATGCATTACCATTTCGTTGATTTTCTTTATATATTTTGAGAATTTCTTTGTAACAGAATGTGCCTATCCTTAATTGCCTGAAATCACTGGTTTTTAAAGGTTATTTGTACCTTTAAATCCATATTGTCTCTGGCAGCTGAAGGCTATTCTTGCAAAACATATAGTAAATTTGTGAGATAATATGACCTTAAAAATAAATGTAAATCTTCATTTTTGGGAAGTTAGAATTGACTTTGATTACCATGCATATTATCTATATGAGAGGGATTTCTGAATTGCTAAGATATATTATTTTACAGAGTTAAAGAGAAAGCATCCCAATGATAATTGCTGAGCCATGCAGAATTAATCAAAGAACTAACAGATTTTATCATGTTAGTTAGGTAATCATGTTGTCATATTACAAAATGTATTGTCATTTTAATATGTTAGCTATATGGTCCATTATGCCATTAGATTTTAGGTGTCGTATTGGGGTTTTCTTTAATCTTAATCTCAATTCATTGTTATGTTCAAATGAGCGGCTGTAAAAAAACAGTAGCTGATGTATTGATGCATTACTTGAGCCATTGTCAGCACTCCTAAGGACACTCACTTCATTATGCTCCTACTGTACATTAGTCAAGCAAAAGTCAACAATTGTCATTAGTAGAAAGGCTGTGTTGCTTGTACCTTGATCGGTTCTTCATAGATGCATTGTCCTGATCTATAAGTGAAGTTTTTTTTTTTCCAATTCATAAAGAATCTTCTGCATTTTGTCATCCTGAGCAATAGTATATAATGGAAAGAATCTTTAGCTTCCGTCATGAACTGGCGGAGAACTAATTCTCAGAACTAGATCAGTATTCTCAATCAGACAAAAACTGTGATTTGGGAGGGGAAGTTTCTAGATGCTGTTCCATTACAGTGTGTCTCCATAGTGCTGCATCCCTTCCTCTTGAAAGTATCCTTGGGGACTAATTCTTGTGTTTTGTTTAAAACGGGACTAGGGAGATTGGTGGGAGAAGAAGCCACAGATAGGATTGATATAAGTCTGGCTACTGACATTCAGTGTCCGATGAGATGCCATTGTAATATGTAGGAAAACGCTAGATGTCGTGGTTCATGATGATAAATCCCTTTTAAAACTCCTATAGTAAGGGTGAAAGTATAATCAAGGTTTTGTAGCAGTGATTTTGAGTTAATTTTAGAGAGACAGAAACCTCTCCTCAATCCCCAATTCCTATAAATAAGTGCTCCAGGGATAGATTGCCTTCTTTGGGTATGCATATCTGTAACAAATCTGTCCTTTTAGCATCACATTAAGGTTCCCCACCACCAATTGTTCAAATATGCTTTTTGCTGGTTTTATTTTTAGTTACTCTCCGTATGGATTTTTAAAAATCTTCTTTGCTTGTATCGCTTCCAGTGTACACTCTTATATTGTATGCCAACCTGACAGTGCTGTTGAAAGGAAGACACTTTCTAAAATGATTGAAATATACTTAGAAAGTTTAAGTACATGGTTGTCCATTTGGTGGGATCAGTTCAGCATGAGACATCAGGAGTGTCAAGCCATTTTAATATAATCTTTGTTTCTGTCAGATACTATGGTAGGTAGACTCTCAGCAGGGTTTTTTGATCATGCAGGTTTTATCATTTCTTATCTTCTAGCTGTCCTGTCAGGCTTGAAATTCTAATCTGGCAAAACTATCAAGCAAAATTTTGTGAAAAACCCATGAAGCAATCTTTTTAAGCTTTCACTACTTGTTTCATTGTGGTGCAAATTGATTCTCACTCTAACTTTAGATGAAAACAGTAAGTCAGGTTCCATTTTTGTTTATCTTGGGCTTTATTTCACCATGCCTGAAAGAATGCTATTCATACTCTCCCAACAGATCAAACATTAAAATAATTATGAAAGCAGACCCGAGAACAAGTTTGGCTATTCAATTAAGAATAAAATCAATGACAATTTTTCCTGTTTATAACAAGGACTATGTTAGTATTAGTTCTCCTTAGAACCACATAATAGATTTTCTTTAAAGATTGATTTTTCACTAAAAGTTAATAGTCTTACTTAAAATGCAGATAATTTGTGCCATATCTTTTAAAATGTCACTAAAACATGTAATACTGAGAGATTTGATTGTTTAGCTTCATTAGATATGGCAGCAGTGTTTTAATAGATGGGTGTATATTTTGTGTATATTCGTAGATTTTGTACTCTCAAATTGCAAATGGAGACGTGGGTACTCTATTTTTCTTATCTTCATTTTTAAGTGCTTTGGTTTTATTGTATTGCGAACAGTTGCTGGGGTGCATCCACAGTTTCGTTGTACAATGACAATAAAGTTCTTCTAATTCTAATTCTAATGTTATGGTCAGGGATGTATTTCAGAATTGATGTGTAAAAAGACTTCAATAATTTTCTCTTGTTATCCCCTCTGATTTTCTTTTATGATGGCTTTAGCTATACTATGGGCAAATTATTGCTCCCTTGCGTATGATAAGGAACCCTTGGTAAAGTCATAAAAGATGTAAAATGATATCCATATCATATGATATATCTTGCACAAGAGATTGTAGATAATTTTGTATGTATGCTGCGGATGAGAAAGATGGCAGCTAAGTAAACTGTAACAGACAAGTAGGTTTTTATTGTCAGAATTATTCACAAACAATATTAGTATTATAGTACAAATAGCAAATGTTAGGTTGCAATTTGTGCCAGTTAGCTTCTTAATGCCAAATAGAATAACATGCATAAAATTATCTGACAAAATAACAGCTGCTTTTTAAAAATTTTCTAATCTGTCCCCTTCTTGTATCTTACTCATTTACATGAACTTCCTCCATTAATTCTGTTGTTTGGTTTTCTTTTTTCTTGATCCACATATTTCTGATGAAGTTTGTAAAATGGAATTGTTTTATGTGAATTATAGATACTATTCCTATTATTTGAATAACTATTATTAGAATTAGGTTTTCCTATTTGTTCAGTCTTTGGAAATGGCTGCAGTGTTGATATAACATTTGAATAGATTCTTAAATGTTATCATATTTTTGGATGCTAAACTTGCTCAGGGCTAAATAATATTGGGTTACATTCTTGCAAATCAGCAACATTTATATATTCCTGGATTTTTTTTTAGTTTTCTCTGTATAACCTTGGTTTCACCTTTTGTAAGTTTTTCAGTGTGCTATACATAAACATGTTTTCTAACCCTGTACTGCATTATATTATTTAAAAAACTTTGAATTTGGTCTAAGAGCCTCCATGCACGATATAATAGCATTGTTGTACATGATTTGCTGGGCTAAGAATCCTATGTTGATTTCCCTGTAAAATAGATTTTTATGGTGGATGGCGGAGTTGTGTATCAACCTAATATCTTAATTTACTGAATAGATCTACCATAAAATTAATCAAGATCATAATCTGCAGCCATGGGTAGGCTTTTATATAATGCACCAGGTTAATAAAATATACTTACTGTGAACGCAGATGCTGTGCTAAAACAATCTGTAGGGTAGATAATAGGATAATATGTTGATACAATAGAAAATACCTGGGTTTCCATGCTAAACTATTCTCCTCCATGCTGCATCGAGAGCCCAGGATGGGTTGACTCCTTCCTATGATGTCATTTAGCTGAGTCTGTACTAAGATATAAAAGCCAGCCCCCGGGAGAGACCCCAGCTTTTGACTCAGCTCCTTTCAGTCAGTAGCTATGTCTCTGAAAGTGTTCTGTTAGAAACACTCACCAGCGATCTTCAGTACCTTTTTTCCTCGCTTCAAGCAGCTCCCAGGGCAGCTGCTCTTCCAGGAGAGCAGGGCTCTCTCTCCTGCAACGTTGGGAGCAGCGTTACCAGAGCTCTGTGCAGGTAAGCTGGGCAGCGTCTGTAGACCTCCCCCACGGTTAGAGTGGTCATAAAAAGCGATCGGCAAACCGATAACAGCATCAGCCAGCTGATCATGTGGCCAGAGGCTGCCCTTTCCTTTGCTGACTTCACTCGGGGCTCTTTATAGCCTAAGGAGCAATTCTTCTATCTTGGAGCCTGTTTCCCCTGAGGATCAAATCCTGAGGATCTGATTGTACTGCAGAAGCCTATGAGACCAGGATGGAGGATGGCAAGGCTCATAGATAACTTCTCCTCCCCTGGGAGGGCTTGGTTGGGGCCACAGGTGTCACCTGAAACATGCTGTAGTTGCACTCCCTTCTGATGAATAGTTCTATTGAACTGCCTCTCAGCGGCCATCTTGGATTGAAGCCTTCCACCACGAGGTGAGTAGCCATTTTGTAAGCCCGGGGCCATTTATACCCTAAGGGGCTTAATACAAAAATTTTCCAAACAGTTTCTTTCCAATGCAAGAGCCTTTATTCTACAAATGGAGCAAGATAAGGCTCAGGCAGAGCTTCCCCCACC